GCTGGTGACTCGGATGAACGTATCCTCCGCAGCAGAGGTGACTCTTTGTCTTCCTTTCCTGGGGCGGTACTCAGGTGAGCCAGTTTCTTTGTAGCGCTTGATGGTTTTTGTGACTGCACTTGGGGACACTTTCAAAGTTTTCCCAATTTTTCGGACTGACCTTCATTTCTTAAAGTAATGATGGCCACTTGTTTTTCTTTACTTGGCTCAGTAACCACTGAGCCCTCCCAGTGGTTTCCAAACTATTTCTGCCCCCCCTCCCCATTTGTAAGCTCACACACATCGTTCAACCAGACAGCTATTTTGTCTGGTTGAACGATATGTGTGAGCGAAGGGGGCGGGGGGTGGGGTGGATTCTTAGAGACTCCCTGTTATACTCTGCTCCAACTCCAGATGAGCAAGTGAGGTAATCAACTTTTTGGGGGGCAAAATGAATCGTAGCTGAACATAGACAACAACACCAGTAGCCTAAGCTACTTGTTAACAAGCGTATTGATATGCTGTATCGATATTGATATGCTGTATTGATATTAGCTAGTCATCTTTTAGCTAACTTTACCTGCATCCAACAGCTTTATTCAACAGTCTGTTAGTTTGGGGGAAAAACTGTGAAAAGTTATTTGTGTTTTGCTGGTTTTCTGCCATGATTCTAACACACACCTGCATAGCTCTGTACAGCAGCAGCAGGTCTCTTTCACTGCTGCACAGGTGTAAACCCAGCCCGACCGTCGTATCGCTCATGTTGCGTTTAAAGGCGGCTCGGAAAAACAAGTTACGACATGTTAACGGATTAAACAGTTTTAACTGCTGATAAAAGTGACAGAGGACACATATATGGGAAGTGGGGAAGCCCCTACTGTATCAGATTGACAGAGGAATAACAGAGAGTTGGCCATTTAAAGGTAAAAACCCAGCGCATACAGCGTTCATGTTTTATCGTTTGTTTTTTTCATCCAGACGGCTTCCCGCGCCCCCCCTGCAATGGCACGGCGCCCCCCCTAGGGGGCATGCCCCACAGTTTGGGAACCTCTGACTTAGCTGCTTTTGTCTTGCCATAATACAAATTCTGACACTCTATTCAGTAGGACTATCAGCTGTGTGTCCATCTGACTTTTGCACAACACAACTGATGGTCCCAACCCCATTTATAAGGCAAGAAATCCCACTTATTAACCTGACAGGCCACACCTGTGAAGTGAAAACCATTTCAGGTGACTACTTATTGAAACTCATCAAGAGAATGCAGAGTGTGTGCAAAACAGTAATCACAAGCAAAAGGTTGCTACTTTGAAGAAACTAGAATATAAGGCGTATTTTCAGTTGTTTTACACTTTTTTGTTTAGTACATATTTCCACATGTGTTAATTCATAATTTGGATGCCTTCAGTGTGAATCTACAATGTCAATAGTCATGAAAATAAAGGAAACTCATTGAATAAGGTGTGTCCAAACTTTTGGTCTGTACTGTGTGTGTGTGTGTGTGTGTGTGTGTGTGTGTGTGTACACACACATCAAGTAAGACTAAAACTTTTGGGATCGCATGTATAAAAGTGTGCGCAACACCAAAACTTGGCGTACGAACACATTTATAAAAGTGTGGCAAATAATTCATGAGTATAAAATTGTCCACACGAAAGTTTTAATTTCCCCCCCTGCCCTATACCACATTGGACCAGCCCTGCATGACGAGTTAAATCAGTTGGTTTGCACATCTGTCTGTTGGATACAGAGGGATAAAGAAATATATTGAAACTAGAAAATTCATGAAGAAATTTAAATGGGGCCTGTAGAAGTATGTCCATTCCTTTGAACCTAGCTTAAACATCCATGCAGGTCTGACATGGATCACCACCAGGTCCATTACCATGGTGCTACTGCTGACCAGGTTCACCAAAACACTACAATGGCAGAACACTGTGCAAAGCAAAGTTCAGTGTGAGACTGACGACTATAAGCTTCGCACATGTGGTTCTCACTCACCGTCCAAAATAAAAACATGAAGACAGTGGGTAATTGTTTATTTCTAAAAAAAAAAAAAGAATGTTAAATTTTCATTCTGAGGATTTTAATTCACACTCAAAAATTCAGAGAAATAATTTTATGTAAGCAAAATATGAATAGTCACAGGAAATATGTATTCTTCCCACAATGCATTGTGAGAACTGGCTGTGTGCTTGTTTGTGAGACTACTCACTGCCTCTGTCTGGGACCCGTTGCTATGGTAATTAATTATCTGCACCTGGGCTGGCTCTCTCTGTCAGACAGTATGCTGGAGACAGAGTTTCTATACTTGTGAGACACCCAGCGTCGGTCTCAAGGACCCTGACAAAAAACCATAAGCTCTAGGAACATTTTGAAAACATTTTACGGGAGCAGGCATGTGTATCTATGTCATGACCGACTTTTAGACCAATAGGGTGATATTTGTGCCTGTGAGGGGGGAGTTAAAAAGAGTTTTGGAGTCAGACCTCCACTGTGCTTTGTGTGTGTTTCAGAGAGAAAGATTACTGATTCTGTGAGACACTCAGCCTCGATTGTTCTAATTTTTCTCAATTTATGTCGACATTTTAACTCAGAATCCCACTAAAAGTAATAGCTCCCTTCTTGGGATCAAGCTGAACGTTTTGATACCATTTTTGTGGGGGTGCACGCAGCGGTTTGGGTCGCATTAACGGTGATGGAAGAAAAATAAATAGTAAAGAGATAGCTTGTTGGGTGTAGAACAGTAGGTTCCTGCCATGCATTGCATAGCAGGCTCCAATTATGAGGCGCTAGTAGAGACCAAGGTTTTCCATTTTCCTACTGCTGAATTTTTAATAAACGCCACACGGATTAGATTGGCAATTTTAAGGAATGGGCTGTCCTGATCTTGGCGGGGCCGCATGCAACAACTCTGTGGTGCTGGAAAGAAAAAGAAGAAAAGAAAAAACAGCATGCTGCGTGACGTTCAGGTGTGATGGCTCCTCTACAGGCTGAACCACCACTCCACTAACGCACAATCCCACTGAGCCACGCATACTATACAGGACCACACAGGTTTTGGAGCTACATAAGCTGCCATCCTTTTTAAGGATCCTTGGTTATTCCAGCAAGACAATGCCAAACCACATTCCATATGTATTAAATTACAACAGCATGGCTTGATCATAAAAGAGTACAGGTACTAGACTGGCTTGCCTGCAGACCAGACCTGTCTCCTATTGAAAATGTGTTATGAAGCACAAAATATAACAGTGGCCCTAAATTGCTAAGCAACAAAAGTTGCACATTGACCAAAGATGGGAACAAAATCCACATACAAAGCTCCAACAATTAAGCTTGGACTTGAAGCAAACAGTGTTGTTAAAAGGAAAGGTAATGTAACAAAATGGTAAGCATGGCCCTGTCCCAACTTTTTTAGAATGTGTTACAGATAACAAAATCCAAAAAAGTGAATATTTACAAAAAAAAAACAAAAAAAAAACACAAAATTTATCCATTTGAAAATTAAATATATTATCTTTCCAGTGAATTCAACTAAGTATGGGTTGAAAATGATTCTGCTTTTATTTATGTTTTAGAAGTAGAATTTATTGTTGGCACAATGAGATTAAAGTCAGTTCCAACAGTGCAAACAAACATAAATATGATGACGTTATTTACAATATTAAATCAGTTAAATTGATATATTCATTCATACACACATAAAACCACCTCATAAATAGTGCATGTGAGTGTTGAGGGTGTTAATTGCTTTTGGGAAGAATAAGTTTTTGAGTCTGTTTTTCTTTTTACACAACATCCCAACATCATTAGAATTGTAGTCATACTAATTTATGGGAAGTTGGGGATTTTTTTTTTTTTCCTGATTGCTAAGGAATATTTTAAGATGCCAAAGCCAGGATTCCTCTAGCTCATATTTACTATTGAATGATTCGAGGAGTTTGTGAGATATCATCTTCACACATGAACTGGCCAACACAGACTCCGACATAAAACCACTTCAAAGTTCATTGTGCATTTAGTGAGAATTAAGAGCATTAATTAATTACAATATAAGTGTTAGCTAAATATTAAATTAATTTCATGTTAAATGTTAAAATTTTTATTTAAATGAGTAAAATTGGGGGTAGGAGAAAACCTAAATTCCCAATCAATTGTATTTTTAAATTCTTGCCCAACTATGCTTGTGTTAGAACCTTAAAAAATATAGTGGAATAACACTACCTGCCAGCCAGGTCAGCTGCCTCTTTGGCAGCCGAGGCATTAACAAGCAGGGATACATTGGAAATGCCTCCGGCCAAAAAGCAATCCACAATCCCCTGGTTCCTTCTCGGGCAGTAGCCAAAATCGTCTCCTGTGACCACCATCAACAATCTTGGCAGAGGCATTTCTTGGAAGTTTCTGAGGTGGATACACAGAACGGAGACTAAATGTAACATTCAGGTGACCATTATGCAGTAGATTTGGTTGGTACTTCCTACTGGTTTAGCTATACGTCTCGATCTTACCTGCTTGTCTTTAATGTTGTTTTATTGTAAATATATTACTATTTATGAAATCAATGGTATGATTACTTTTGATTCGTCTGTCATATGTCTTCTTATTTCTGTTCACAAGTTTTGTGCTATAGTTCTTTCTATGACATACAAAAGCATAAAAACGCAACTGAAACGTCTACACAATACTCGTCCCGGAAGAATAATTGGAAAACCATTTGCATTTGTTGACACGACTTGTTAGTTTGTAATACAACTGACGTAAAATCCTTTCGAAACGGAAACAAGGAAAATCTTTTAAAACGGCACCGCAGGAAGCGAGATATTTTCTTTACGAAAATAAAATACGCTGATACGAGAATTGGGTGTAGTGGAAAGAAATCCAACTTACCAATTAAATCCACAGTAGCCTGTGAATGCTACTCTGGTAAGATGGAAAAAATACAAGCTTACTTCCTACTAGCTTTCTTCTGAGCTAGAGTATGATATATACAGGAAAACACTGCCACCTGCTGAAATAAGGAGGCATTCTCCTGAACAAACTAGGACAGAATTAAGTATTTAAAATCTTTCCAGTTGAAAGTCATACACGGATTTGTTACGTGAACAATAAATCAATAAACTGAAACAACTTTTTCCCTTGACTACCGCCTTTTTTTTAAACCGACGTGTTAATATAACTGCCATCTTTAAACAGGTTATCCTACTTCTTTGAGCATGTTAGTCTATTGAAGAAATATGTTCATATTCCTGTCGACAGGTTGACTTTGTTTTGAATTTTAAACATCTTTCATGACTCAAAGTATTTAATTATAAATATGAACTGGAATGTTCATATAGAATATAAAGACAAGTATTCAAATAAATTAATCTTTCAAAACCAATGCTGTCATCTCAGTTGGAAAAATTTGCATTATACTTTTCAGAGGAAGTCAAAAAGTGTTAACACACACGCACATACACGCACACACAAACTATTAAGAGAGGAACATTTGAAAGCTTATTAACCCTTTTAAAAACTTTTGACTCATTATATCCTCTCATGCCCAGATTCAGAAAATGCTGTGTGCAAAAGAAACTGAGTTCACACAGAGGTAACAGCATCCCAATAATCAGCATTTATTCAAGACAGATGCATACTATCACCACAAGAGCACATCACAACACATCAGAAACTCAAAGCACAAACAACACATGAATTTACCTGAGAGAGGAAATGGAAACGACAAACAAAAAGCAAAGACGTCTTTGGAGAATTGCAAAAGCAAATCTGATTTGTTCCTCTGGGGCCCTTACTTTTATTCAAAAGGGTGTTTTCTTTGTTTTAAATTATGCAATTAAGGCGTGTTGTTCCCCTTGTATGGCTACAACTAGTTTCAAATTACTAAGTTGGGACATCCGAAGCAATTTTATTACCTTCTGAGACCTGTTTAATTTCAGGGCTACAGCGCTTCTCTATCTAGACAAGGGAGAGCAAAGGTCATTTAGAGCAAGCTCTTCTCATGCCAGTTTGAAATATGTTACTCCTAATTCCTCGTTGGAACAAAGCCTCTAGTCTTTTTACCAGAGTTCAACCAAAAGTTAACCTGTCTTAGACCTATTTTATTTCCCTGTCATGTAATTCCTACAAATACAGATCAGTGCAGTAATTTTAAATTGACATAAAGCCTGGTACGCAAAGTGGTTCAGAACTTCTGCATCCTCTTAGATCAAAGCGCAGATTTTAAGAATAAAACACTTATAGAATATACCTGAGCATTTTCAATATAAACACATTCATTCTAAACATTTTCTAATTAATGTTATACTAGTTTTGATTATATTTAACTAACTGATATTACGTTTAGCCTAGGTTAGAGACTCCATGTAGTTGTTAATATAAAATTGCAATTATTGTTAGTATTATGTTGTTAGTTTGTTTGTCCTTAAGTTTTAGTGTCTCTCTGAGGGAGGATGACTTGAGATGTCTCCTTGCTGCTGCTCATTTGAGACATGGCCTGTGTGCCAAAGTTAATTTATGTCATGGTTCCTCCCTAATAACAGACATTCTTTTCTGCAGGCCCTCTAAGATTTTATCCAAAGGACTCTTGCTTAATCCACTATTTTCACATGTCGTAAGATTTAACTGTATTAAGCACTAAGAATATTTATTTTCCTCAATAACACACACACACAAACACACACACATATAAATAGAGAGAGAGAGAGAGAGAGAGAGAGAAATTAAAATTAAGCAGGGCATTTAACTTTACCAGACTTTGTCTTTTACTACTGCAACATGTCAACTCATTTTGTGCCTCATCAATCCAGACTATTTGAATACTTTCAAAGTGATTTTGAGTCAATAGGTCACATGACCTAGAAGCTAATGAAGAAAAACACAGAATTTTGACTAAAAAAATTATAAAAAATAAAAAATTTGTTAAAATACAATAAAATTTGTGTGCCTCATCTATACAGACTGGTATTATAATTTCACACTGGTTTTGAGTCTATAGGGCACACGACTTGGAAGCAATTGAAGAAAACATATTATTTAATATTAAAATTGTTTCAAATATTGAATATGACTTTAAAATTTCATAGAGGATAGTATGTCTCATGTAAAAACATAAATTATCACTTTTTTGTATCAGTAAGTCAAAAGGCAAAGCATTTATTAACATTTATTTGACAGGAGTGTTTGGTTCGGACATTTGTTGACGGTCCCTAAGTGAACCTCCGAGCGCTTGAGGAATGGAGCGGTGGAGAACGGCTGGCCGACATTAGCGTTCATAAATCGGATCAACCTTGAGCTAAACGCTGCTTACTCCGCGGAGCGCGAATATCGAATATCCAACTTGAAACTAACTTCACTGCGGTGCTGGAAGTGGAGGAGGAAGCAGCGTCTTTGCGTCACACGCTTCTGATCTTTTACTCGAGCTCAGTGGCAGCAACAGAAGAAGAGTCGAGAGGATCAGATAGATCCACAACTCAACAGACCCGCTCCGGTCTGCTCCTTGCTCCCCAGCTTGACAGAGGTTCTCTCCTCCCGTAGGCGCCAGGGGATGGAGGAATGATCCAGACCGACTTCTCTCCGCAAGATCTTCCTTTTCTTTTCCCTCCTTCTCCTTCTCTACCTCCGCCTGTTCTGCTGTTCGATCCTCGCGCGCCGCGTCCGCCGCTGGTTCTGTGGCCTGGATGCGGACTCCGATGCTCGGCAGAACTGCGGCGTTTGCGGCCCTGTTGGCCCTCAGTGCCTGCTTAACAGGTAAGGAAGAGCCGCCGGGGCTGCTGGGTGGTGTCAAGATGTAGGTGAGATATCCTGAGAGCTTTCTGAATGCTGCTATGCTGCTGTAGATTGCTGAGGTCAGTGTGTCCGTTACACTGATATGGCTCCATCATATTTGGGTACTATCTTCAGTCTACAGTTGGTTACACTTTAGCTGCTGGCTTTCATTCCTGTCCAGCTGATCAGCATTGAATAAAGTCTATATTCTCTTGTTTTATTTTGTTTTTTGACAAAAAAGTGAAAATACCATGTTGTTTTCCTTGTCCTTTAGTGTGGCAGTTAGCTGTTCCTCACACAAATAAAGCAGAAATTGATCCACATATTTGTTTTTCATGTTCATCCACTAGATTAAAGGAGTAGTCTGTAGCCAAATCAACCTAACACAGTTGACGACTTCATCAAATTATTCAGAAATTGCTCTTGGTTTCTTAGTTTTGGGGGAGATAATTGAGCTGTGTGAGTTTAAGTATGATAGAGTTCCTGCTAGTAATGAGAAGGGAACAGAGGAGGAGATGTTTTCATCATGTGTTGCAGGACCTGCTTAGGGCTCTGTTATCAATTGGAGGTGGGGGGTTTGAACATCATCTGGCTGCTCTCTGGAACACATTCCTGTGTCATCTGAAGAGCTTGAGTGTGATGTCACGATGTTTTGTAATGGAGACTGGGTATTTCTTTTCAAGGCCTCTTTAGTGGTAGGTTTGTGGGTTTTCCTTCAAGTATTTTGTGGTAGTATTGTGATAATAATGACAATAAAAAGGTTTATTTCTTTACAGTCTTTTTTAAGGTAACTGAATGGCTCTTACTGTTTTTTTGCGTATCCTGTTTAA